CATAAAAACCCTATTACACAAGTTTTCACATTTTTTTGAAAAATTTTGAAACAGCAGCTTTTTCCACGTTGACACCATATGTTTCAAGTTTCTACCGTAATCCTACAGTATTGAAGAGAGATGGGTGATTCGTTCTATAATGCAAATCTAAGTTGAAGCCAGCTCTACAAGATGGTGCTTAAAGCAAGGCAAAAGACTTCTTGGGAAGAGAGATATTAACGATCAAACGTTCGATACATTTTTTTGGGACACCCTGTATATATTGACATATTATATATATACCACTATATATGTACCTACGAGGGTGAACAACTGCTTTAAGGATCGGGGCATTATGATGTTTCCCGCAGGTCACTCCGATAATGACCGGAGAATGCCCTGTCGGGGCATTATGGTGTCTCCCGCAGGTCACCCCGCTGCAAACACAGGTGACCTGATTTTGCCCCGACACCGATTTCGTGTGACGCGCCGTTGCTCAATGAGATCACATCATTTTAACCTGCGGGTGACAACCGCGAATGTCTGAGGCGGTCAGAGCGCCAGCCGCAATGCTATAAGCATGAGGTCCCGCAACGACTCTGCGTCTTCGCCATGCTCAGACATTCGCGGTTAAGTCCCGCCGTTGAAAAAGTTGTGTCCCGACAGAATGACTGCGGGACTCAAGTAAAATGCTTCGCGAGAAAACCGGGACTCCTGCATTTTGTTCGGGATAATACTGCGCGACACGCGCTTCTGTCCCGAATGTTTTCTACTGAGAAAACCGGGAGCTTCTGCGGGAGTCCCGGTAATGTCGCGATCCAATCACCGGCGGGACTCCCGCTCATATACAAAAGTCAATTAAAGCCACCGTACAGCAGCTTCGGAAACCAAGTCCGTGTTCAAGATTGAATAGCGCCGAGATCCTATCAAAGGTTGTCCGTTGGATAACATATTGACAGTGTTGTTGCCCGTAAGATATTGGAAACACATCCAAAGTTGTGGACATTGAGGGTAGTCTGACCATGCGTCGTATTTCACGCAAGTGTCCTTTACGCTCAGACACTGGGAGCGCGCCCTGAAATCGCGACTCCCGATAATCTCCCGCTTCAATTTTTCTGTCGGGATAATCCCGAAAGTCGGGACAAAACCGGGTGTCGCGCAAGAGTCCCGATTTTCTCGCGATTTGAGTGACGGGCTTCGCGTTCTCTCGTCCATGGGGTGGGCGGGTTCGGAGAGGACGGGAGATGAGCGCTGCTTTCGCTTTGAAATTTTGGGGGTTAGAAGTGGCAGAGAAAGACCGAACTTTGGCTCAAGGGTTCCATTATGGGGCTCCTACCCTGTGACCTTGTCTTGCCACGAGTCTCATTCTGCCGACCCACTGCCTTTGACTGGAATACCATTCAGCATAGCAGATGGAAGCTGCCAAGACTTGGTTTCACTACTAGGCAAGTCAAAACGAGTCCCTTGAGAAGGAGATGTCAAATAATAACTTCTTTTTACGGAAGCGAGACCTTCGCTAGAAAAACAAGCGAAGCGTTTCGGATATTTATAAAAACCTTGTTTTGACCTTGTTTTGTCACGGGTCTCATTCTGCTGATGTACTGCCTTTAACTTGATCCTATGCTCTCGATTTTTGGATTGAAGGAAGTGATAACAAAGCATGCGAGCTGCGTTATGTAGGAATATCTCATAAGTTTGGTTAGAGTTGACCCTAGGTATCGTAGCATTATCACTTGTGCTTCTAATTGACCTCCATACATATTCAAGTCTGAGCCTGCTTCAATTGTGATACAGCACAGCATAAGGCACTACGTCCCAAATATTGATTACTTGTCTGCTTCTGTTCGTGTTCTTGTTTTCATTTTTCAAACTTGCTCTGAGCGCTTTTCTATTATTGGTTTTACACATGATTTTGGTAACAAAAGCGATCACTACATCTAACAAGGAAGCGCTAAGTCAGCTCGGCCAAACCGGATGAGTCATACATCAACGTAACGGACTTGAAATGCTGATTCCAAATCTGCTTTCCTTTTCTGCGGAACGATTCTATGAAAGAAGTTATGAGATTCGAGTGTTTAAATTTGTCATGTTTGAAGTGGCTTATAGAATTAGCGAAAAGCACTAAAACAACACCCAGCAAACTTCCACTGGCTGTTTTTCGTCCTTGTAGTCAGTATACTTGATATAAAACTGAAAACCTTTCTTTACGTATATTGTACAGCTTTCGCCAATTTTACACCATTTTAGACTTGACAAATTTGGACTTTCAAACGCTGATAATTCTATTGTAGAGTTGTTCCGCAGAAACCAAAAGCAGATTTGGAATACGTGTTTCAAGCCCGTTACGGTGTATATGACTCATCCTGGTTGGCCAAGCTGACTTGGGAACTCTCCCTTGTAAGTGTTCGTTGAGATCCTTTCGTTGAGAGCCGTCATGTGTGTAGCTTTTTCTTTGCATTTTTAAATCTTGCCGTGTTAGCTGAAATGAAAGCGCTCGTTTGGCTGCACGTCAGGAGGTAGCCGCCGCGCGCGGCGGCCGCTTGCCGCGCACGCCGCATCCAAATCTTGGGACCCATCAAAGACACCACTATCAAAGATTTCCGGCGGCAAAAACACGGGGGTGGGAGTGGAGGCAGATACATGACTCGATGCCATGAGTAACATTACACCTAGAATGCTGCTATTGTACTGGTTGAAATGCGTTGCGGCGTCGCTTCACGAAAAATTATCGCCGACCGTACCTCCTAACCGTCCCCCCCCCGCTCGTTTCCAGTAGTTCAGTTCTCGATTAGCGTATAAGGGCTTCTAATGTGTGGGGACGGTGTGCACCACATGTCCCTTTGTCTGTCGAGCGTCTGCCAAATATTTAATCTCACTGTAACATGTTTTACATTTCCACAAATCGAATTCACAGCAGTGGTCTAAGCAGTTTTTTGCTCGACAAAACCGCTGAAAGAATCGATTGTGCACGCACCCTATGCTGGAGTAGTCCTAGAGCTCATAATCTGTCATTGCTTTTATGCGATGCTACGCTAAGTGAAGACCCTGGACGTGACAAAATTAGGCTGCACGTCGAGGTACGCCGCGCGCGGCGGCCGCTTTGCCGCGCACACCGCGTCCTGGGGCGGTATACAGCAATCGCCCGTCGTAAGTTACCCGGACAGGTAGTTTCCGCTTCGTAGCTCGGTGCTCTGGGGATCTGTGTTCTTCCTTGTTTGTTCATCTTTGGGAGGCTCTACTACTCTAATATTGTAGCACAATGATTAGCAGTATTTTGCTGTATAAGCTGAGATAATTCGTTATTTGTATGATCCCGAACGGAATCTCCCACTGATCACGCTTTTTTAAAGTTATTTATATCCGTAAAAACTCAAGGGAAACGTCACAGAGTTTTCTGTCCATTTATTACGATAGTGCTACGCATGTTTGTGAAAGAAATAAGTGAAAAATCAAGTTGACAAAATCTTCGCTGAATCTGTGCTCGAGAATTGGGCTTTATCGAAAAACTCAAAACTTGCACGCATCTTTGCTACTAAAAACATGCGTAGCACTGTCGTAATAGATCGAAAGCAAAAGTATGTGACGTTTTCATTGAATTTTTGCGGATATAAATAACTTTGGAAGTGAGCGTGATCAGTGGGAGATCCTGTTCGGGATCATACAAATAACAAATCATCTCAGCCTATACAGCAAAGTGCTGTTGATTAATATGCTACAATATTAGGGTAGTAGAGCCTTCAGTAGATGAACAAACAAGAAAGAACAGAGATTCCCAGAGCACCGAGCTAGGTCTTAAGACCCATAGAACCTTTCAATATCAGAGATCCCAGCGGCAAAAAACACGGGGGTGGGGGTGGAGGCAGATACATGACTCGATGCCATAAATAACGTTACACCTGGAATGCTGCTATTGCACTGGTTGAAGTGCTTTGCGGCGTCGCTTCGCGAAAAAAATCGCGCCGATCGTACCTCCTGACCGTCCCCCACAAAATTATTGCTTCACTAGCTGGCTTACCCGGCTCCGCCGTATACTCCGAATAGAAAATTCCATTTCTTAACCGATCGGGACCAAACTTGTCACACCTACACTTCCGGCCCCGGCAGCTGAGCTTTTAGATAATTTAGTCATGTTGGACAGTCATAACAGTCTTATATTGATGATAGACAACTTTGAGTGTTAGTTCGTGATAGTAGAAGCTTTGAACAACCACTGCGCAAAAAAAACGGGTAGAATAAGAAAAGTATCATGAGGATTTATGTGTAAAGTGAACTAATTTTTTACCCAATCTAATATAATATTACGATATCAATTTTGAATTGCAATTAGAGAGGGGCCTTTTCTTGAAGTGCATTGCAGCTATAAGCGCCAATTTTCAGTTGATTTATGGGACCACAACAGTTGGTCAGAGTTGCAGTAAAAAGTCATACAGACCTAGCTCATCATTGCAGATATCTTTCATTTTATTCTTGCAGCTGGAAACGTTATTACAAGCTCAGATATGTTTTTTCTGCACCATCAAGCGTAACTGGTTTACAGATGTAAACTTTTTTTCTTTCTACCTTGGAAAATGTACCCCAGAAATCAGTTTTCACTTTTCCTGTGCTCATGTTTGCTGTTAATTTAGTACCCCACTGGACATAAAACTGAGCCAGAGTTTAACGATAGCTGTAAAGCGCGATATTCTCAGCCTTGAGTCGTTGCTTGCTTCAGGAAAATAAGTATCTAATGAGAAAAGACATAAAATTAGTAAAAAAAATTAACTTAGGACAAGGAAAGTTTTCCTGAACTGCTTCACGCGCGGGTTACTGTAAAGCCGCGTCGCACGATTTCTAACTTGCCTAACGCTTGTAACAAGAGCCCCCAGACTGTACTGAACTGACTGAAGGTCGCACACAAAAGCTAATCATACCCGTTTCCCCTCTTCAAAAGTAACGCGGAAAAGTTACAAAAAATTTCAGTAATTCCCAGCTTCAACATTGGACTTTGTTGACTTAGGTAATCCCGTAAAAGAAATTCGCAATTAGCAAAATCTTACCACAGTAGTTCCATTTTCTGATTTTAGCTTCTGCTCTTCTTCCTCCTGAAAAATCAGAATTTACATAGATAGTTTGATTCTTAGACTCGAATAAGACCATTTCACTCCAGGTTTCTTCATCTGCTCAAGACCACTGTGAATTTTGCCAAAGAATGTTTTATATAATTTTGCAATTTTTGTTCCAAAGACGTTTTATATCTGAACTGTTTTTCAATCAAAGAAACCATTTCAAAACTACTTCATCATCCCTTAATAATTCATCAAATCTATCTGCCATGATTCTCATTGTTAATGCCTAACTGTTTTCATCTGGAAATGCTGTCTCGCTTCATGACTTGAGGAGTTAGCATCGAGCTCAATATTATATGCAGAAACTGAGTCCTAAATGAATAGAACTATCTACTGCTCTAGAATGAAGGAAGATGTGTGAAAGAATCACATTTTCATAGCTCTTTCAATCTTTCCTTGATATATGCGATTATTTGAAGAAGCGGTACACTCATTTATTTGAAAAACGCATGACAATCTCACCTCCTTGCCTTTTTCTTCACCCTCCTTACTCTGTGATCCATCCTGCAAGCAAGTTTACGAAGCAATAAACGTAATATGAGCAAACTAACCTCATTCTTTCTAGCCTCCTCCTCCTCCTCTTGATTCTTTTCACCGTCTCCTTCCTTCGGCTCAGGCTCGTCCACTCTCTTCTCCTTTTCGGATTCGATTTTTTCCTACCTCGCTATTCAGTTGTAGGAGAAAGTAGGGAGCAAATTAAAAGTCACCTTTTCCTCTTCTTTAGGGCTTCCCTGATCAATATTTTGTTTCTCTTCTATCGGCTGTAAAGTAGTAACCAAGTGAGACGAGCATATTACAATGAACATAGTTGTGTTTCAGTGCTGTAAAAAGTATGACAGATTATAGAGCTCCCACCTCTTTCTTATCGTTTTCGACTTGTTGATTATCATTTTCCTCATCTTGTGTCGAATGCGGTGAGGCCTATAAAATGATAATCAATTGATTCCGTCATAACACAGTATAGTCAATAGGTTTTCAATGATGTAAAAACTATGAAGCGCAATGATTGTAAAAAGCTGCTCTTCTGCGAGGGAAACATCATTAAGCACAGAAACGCCTTACAGCTATCTTCTTTCACTGCTTTGCAACTGTTGCTCTACACTAGTTTTAGTAGTTGCTACGATACAAGTGTTATACGGTATTACAAGATCACAAGCAAATGTTAATAGTCAAAAGCCAATGTGTAAGCTAAGACCCACCGCTTCTTCAGGCGCGGCGGCTGGTTCCTCTTCTCCAACTGCTTGCTGGAATGTGGCAACTCGCATTACAAATTTTGAGAGCTTTTCTTGTACAAACATCATTGCAAGAAGCGTAATGAATAAGTATGGTTTCACTTTACATGTGCAGTTTTTGTTTATGTCAAAATCAAGCCAACAAGGATGCGTTACAGGTGAGAATCAATGCGTAAGCAAAACCTATCGGTCTATTTATTACCGGAGTTTCCTCTACTACCTTTCCTTCTCAGACAATGGATCGGACCCCTCCGCTGGGGAAATGGCAGGGTCGCGGCGTTTCCCCAGCGGTGGGTCACCCATTCGTCCGGCGGAGCCCTCCCATTTCTCCGGCGGAGACCTCCCATTTCTGCTCCGGATACCCCCCATTTTCTGCTCCGGATACCTCCCATTTTCTGCTCCGGAGCCCCCCGATTTTGTGCGCCGGAGCCCCCCGATCGCGGCATACTGTAATTAGCCCTAATTAAAGGCAGCTTCCAGGCAGATCTGGACCTATGGGGCTTTTACATGGAAAGTACTTTTGGGGCCCTAACTAAGGCACTGCCGAAGCAGCAGCTCAGGTAGTGCTCCAATGGCTGAGATATTCCCCTCGAAACAGACCCCCCGCGAACGTATTCGCATGGATTCATGGCAGTTTCGCGCCAGGATCCACGCTTTGCGCATGAATCCATGCGAAACACGGTCGCGGGGTCCGGTTTCGAGCAGAATATCTCAGGTGTTAGAGCATTACTTGAGCTGCCGGTTGGGTAGTGGCTTAGTTAGGGCCCCAAAATACTTTCCATGTAAAATCCCCGTAGGTCCAGACTTGCCTGGACGCTGCCTTTAAGCTCCAAACCCCAATTTTGGCTCTAAACCCCACCCAAATAAGCCGAATAGGACCCCCCCCCCCCGGGTAGGAGTTTAGCGCGACCCTCACCCCGTACTCTACCCCCTCCCTCTCACCCCTAGCGTTTGTGGATAGAAGATAGAAGAAAGAACGAAGAGATAAGACATTTATTTCAAATTTATCAAACTTTCGAAAAATCTATCTATCTATCTCCAGCATACATACAACAGTTAATTCATATTACAAAAACCATACTAGGAGTGATAAGAATATTCAAAGAAAAACTAATTTCCTAGTTGCAAAAAGAACCTTGTAACACCACAGTATAAGCATATGGTTTTAACATGGTAAGAAAATGACAAAAAGATCAAAAAAGCATTCTGTGCAACATGAAACAAAACAGCGAGGAACGCCATAAACTCACATTTGCAAAGCAGGGACATATTGTCCAAGTGCGATATATACATGAGCTATATTCATCCAAACATCTTCGAATTCCGAGGCCCAAGGCCATACTGGGGCAAAACGAAAGTAGGATGATTCAACGTAGTTGCTTGATAATAGTACTAGGACACGATGATGACATGGATTGAAATTCTTGCATATGCAACTTACCTTGAACGCCTTTTCATAGTCTCTGTTGAAATGGAAGAACCGCGCAAGAATGTAACAAGCTTCGGCCTTGATTTCGTCACTTTCCGTCATACTCATTGCATGCCACGCTAACCGTTCAACCTTGTTCATTTCCTGAAAAAGTGATGCCTTCAGATAAAGCGATAAACACCTCGATGTAACAGCTTGGACAAATTTAAAAGGTCCCTTTTATAGATAGTTCGTAATTAATTCAAAGAATTTCTGCACTGACTCCTTTGAAGAAGAAGTGGTTGGCAAGATGGACCAAGACAACCGGATTCTCCGGCTCCAGACTATACGCTTGGCCTAGACAAGCCACTGCACTTTGGGCTCCCTCGACAGTATGCGTATTGTAATCCAAAGTGGCAAGTGCTGAGAGAGCACAAACATTGTCATTTTGCAATTCCAACGCTCGTTCAAAAGCGATTCTGCAAATTGTAATTGAAAGTCACATAAACAGTAAAGAAGAAGCTATGTGACTCAAACATTTCACATTTACATGCTTACCTAGCCTTATCAGTCCCTAATCTCGCTAAGCAATACTGGAAGCAATGTGATGTGACTAAGCAACAGTAACAGTCACAATGCTTCAGTAACAGTCACAAAACTTCAACATCGTTTGGAGTTGCCTCCAAGACTTTTGTCAACATATCTCTTGCCTTGTCCTATCTTTCAAGCCAGAAACGATATAGTGAGGATCTGCAACGTCTGATGAAAAGTCGATCGACTTGGTAAGCATACGTACGAGAGAGATAGTGTGGACCCCGGCCAGCTTCCCATAGGTACTAGCGCGGCGCACACGCAACGCGCGCCCGACTTGAACGCTTCTCATTTCACTTACGAACAAAAAAGCATTATAACCGAAAACAGGAGTGAAATGAGATGTGGAGGCCTCTAATCCGAACACGAGAAAAGCCAAGGCAATAGGAGAACCTTCACAACTTTCACTACTAGCGCTCAGATTCCAGTCAATCTCATAGTTAACTGGAATCTTCTATTATCCATCGCTAGTAGTGTATGACACTACCAGCGATGGATGATAGAAGTAACAGGAAAAGTCGAAGAACAATTCTGAAAAGTCTTCCTTCTGGTCATAAAAAACCCAGAAAGTTTGAGCTCAAGAGCACGATTGCAAAGCTCTGATGGTGTAACAAAAGGCTAGAAGCATCTACACTCCACAAAATCAACTGCATATACACTTATTCTGAACAACCTTTGGAGAGATGTCTCTGAACTACACCGAAATCTTCACTATTGAGAAAAAAACAAGATTTTCGAAACAAATGCTTGCAAGACTGTCAAGACTCGTAAAAATCCATCACCAGCAGTTGACGTGTGTCGTTTACATCTAAAGTAGAGATTACAGAAGAGAACAAACACACTTGAAAGAGGAAATTGAAAGAAATCCCTTCAGAGCCGAAACGAAAAGCGCACTGAAGGCATGCGCTTCGGGCGCGCCGCGGAGGTACCTATGGGAACCTGGCCGGGGTCCACACTATAGCAATAAACGGATTATTTAGACGATACTTTCATCACAACAACACTAGATAGTTGCGCAACTAACCTCATTGTTTCGAAAATCCAGAATTAATCACAAAAACCACTCCATCAATAGTCTACGATGTCTCAGCAAATCGGAAAGAGCCAAACAATGAAGGTGATTGAGTGCAACCGCACGAAATTTTCAAACATAAACCTGAAAACGAGGAACTTACAGCAACATAAACGCCAACGCGACGAAGAGCAACGCGGAAAAGGAAAAAACGGTAAAGAAACGCGCAAAAACAACAGAATCAAAGAAACGGCGACTAAAATATGGACAAAGAGCGTAAACAGAGGACTCATCACCGTGGAGTTAGACGTTTGCTTGCTACGCGCCAAATCGATACGCAGCCTGCTCCGGATACCTCCCATTTCTCCGGCGGATACCTCCCATCTTCTGCTCCGGACCCCTCCCATTTTCTCCGGCGCGACTCCGCCAGATTTGCCAGGCTCGCGCCGGACAAATGGCGGACCTTTGCAGCAGGGCCGGAGAAGCCTCCCATTTGCCTGGCAGTGATGTCACGCGAGGGACCGCCCATTTGCCCCGCTCTCATTGGTCAATTGGGTCCGGCGCGAGTCTGGCAGTTTCGGCTTGCCCAGCGGAGGGGTCCGATCCATTGTCTGAGTTCGTGGTCATCTCTGTGCTGCTCCTCTTCTGACAATGGCGGTGGGGCTTATGCAATGATAATCAATCGATTCCGTTATATCACAGTATAAACTTAGTAGGGATTGTAAAAACGTAGTAAAAACTATGAAGCGTAAGGAATCTGTGAAATACTCCTCTTCAAACACCTGCCCTTCTGCGGAAGAAACATTATCGAGCGCGTAAACGCCTTACAATCATATTCTTACTGCTTGGCAACTGTTTTTCTACTATGATTTAGATTGCTACGATATAAGTGTTATGCGGTACTAGAAGATCCAAGCAAATAATAACAGTTAAAATGCAGTGTGTAAGCCAAGGCCCACCTGTTCTAAAGGCTCTGTAACTTTTTCCTCTTCTCCACTTCCTTGCTGAAATGCGATGACTTTCATTGCAGATTTTGAAAGCATTCCTTGTTCAAAAATTATTGCCGTAAATGTATACAAATAGTTCAAATGTACTGCAAAAACAAATCATTTCTTTCCTTATGTCTACATCTGGGTGAAGTCGCACTATTCACTTGTAACTAAAAGTGGTCAAAATTTTTTGAAGCCACACCTCCATTTCTTCAGGCTCTTCTTCTTGAGAAGCTTCTGGCCCTCCCACAACTTCCGGTGGCGATTGAGGCTATAAAGTGATAGTTTAATGAGTCCACCATATTACGGTAAACGTAGTACTCTTTGCATGTGAAGTTTTTGTTCACATCAAAATCACGACCAACAATTGTGCATTATAGGTGAGAATCAATGCATGAGCAAAAAATCCTACCTCTTTAATTTGGGACCGCTCTACTTTTCCTTTTTCCGGTTCTTCTCCCTGAAACGGACCTTTTAAACAAAGACCTCGAACGAAGAGTTTCAAAGTTTGTTCACCCACCGCTTTATCATGGCTTTGTACCAATTCTTCAACTTCTTGAGTTACATCATCCTGAAATACTGGAGTTCGTTTTGTACAAATTCTGTGTAAAAAAACTTTATAATACGCTTAGTGTAGAAGATGAGGGATGGGGCCGGAAGATGTCCCATGAAGATATTTACAAACCTTTCCTTCGTTCTCCATCATGTCCCCTTCGAGTGCAAAGTGTCAGCTAGGAAAGAGAGTAGGGAGAGGAGAAAAAGGAAATCATCGTACACGGTTGGGACTGTTGCCAATAAGAGAGAAAAAAAACGAGTTCGGCTTTTCCAAGTTATACTGAAGAAAAAGAACCGAGCTCTTGATTTCAAGATTTAGAATTAGTTAATCTATATATATATATATAAAACTCAAACACTGTACCGTGTTTGTTAGGATGTTTGTGGCTTATAGACTCCTTTGTATGTGAACCAAAGAGGCTGAATTTTGTTTCCCTATAAATGAGACACGGCGCATCAGATAGGCTACTTTTATCGACAATTCGCTGAGTCCTTCTATCGATTTATTGATTTTGTTTACTAAAATCTAGGAAAATGAAGGCTATACCATTCATTTCTCCAACTTAAGTAGTAAGGGGTGGTAGAGATCATTTACATTTTGCGGTGAGGAGCATGCGGTGTCATGAAGCGAGCCGGTCAAGAAAGAAGACTATTCACCACGGATACTACACGAGCGCTGGAACTGACAAGGAGGTATAGCAGGAGAGTCACAGAAGATGTGAACTGAAGAAAGTGGAGGACTGGTAAGTATACATCTTGAAGCACACCCTATGCTGGGCCATTCTGGACTCTCGGCCCGGGCGGGACCGGGGACCGCAGCTAGTTAGAAAAATAATTTAGAAATTAACCTTGTTTGGTTTACATATCGCAGATAGCCAAGCGTCATTTACACATCTTTTGAAGAACACAGTTATGAAGATGTGTTTGTTGCCAATATGATATCAGTATAATAGTCGTTTTCTCTTGACTACTCTCAATCTTACCTCTTGCCGGTCGTTTGCGGGCCCTGCTGGAGCTGCTGCTGCCAGCAAAAGTAACTAAAAAGTATATACTGTGCTGTTCGAATGAGAAAACAACAAACAGTGTACACTCACTGCTCCGAGAACAAAGAGCTTCAACATTCCCAATGAGTTGTTGAAAATGGTGAATCTGGCTTTCGCGGTCGTTCCCGAGTTTTATATAGTCAAAGGTCATCCACAAGTTCCACTGAAGATTTATCAATTGACAGTTCATACTGTTCCACTAGAGGTTCCTCGAAGTTTGCAAAGCTAAGTAATCTAGATGAGTGTTCAACAAGACATCGATTCAATGTCTTTCTCGAGTACAACATCGCTCACAGAACGTGCAAAATTTCCGTGAATGCCAGCGGAATTCCGGAAAATACCCGACATTTACGGAAATTTTTGCACGTTCTGTGAGCGATATTGTACTTGTTTCTGATCATCCGTCATCACATGCAGTGAGTGAACTTCGCATACCATGCTCATATCATTTCGGATTTGCTCATGAACTTGGTGCTTGTGTGCATTCACCAAAAATGGTATACAATACCGCTTACATTTTTTGAAAAATAGACGCGAATGTAGCATAACTCATGCGACATGTGACGTAACTCACGCGACGATCGCATGAGCTATGTCACCTGTCGCATGAGTGATGCGACGGTCGCTTACATATGGACATCATCGTCGCGTGGCCATATCTCGCTTTAGAATGGACTAGAGTATTTTTCAAAAAATGTGGCGGTATTGTAGAAGTGCACTGCATACAAGCTATTTTGAAAATAGTACCTACACTTTTTGTTAATACTTTTCGTCAAACATCTTTCCTGACCTCCTTGCTTTATTTGGAGCAAGTATTGACAGGCACGACGTATTTGTGAATGGCTAAATTTCAAATTCAAACAATTAAAAATTTTGCATAGACATTTGAACACTTATGAAGTAACATTGCGCGCTTTTCTATGTGTTTCTCTGTCTATCTGTACGGCAGTCCCTACTCAATTTTAGATTTGATGAAATTCCGAAAGTGGTCGAGCAAGTCTTCGCCACCGTTTGCTTTCTCAATCGTTTTTTATTGCTCTGAACCCGAATGGGGACAACAGATCGGGTAAACTGTTCAAGCCAGAGAAATTGCAGATTGTGACTGGGATTGAGCATAATAATATCGTAAAAGCCTCTCCAAAGACACCACGGACTTCTGAGCAAGTGTCAGAGCACCACTTCGTAAGCCTTCCCCTTTGTTTCATTTACCAAGTTCTGTTGTCGTTACACAAACTTAGACATTTTCTCTATGGCTAAATACGGTTAAGGAGTTCATCATAGTGGTCGAATCACCAAGAATTTGACCATCCAAAATCTCCTACCCTTTCTCTGCCTCCTTTCTTCGTTCTGTTAAACTTGTCCCCATGTTTGGTGGAATGAAAATAGCAAGCTCAAACTCAACGATACGCAAACTCAACTCAAAATCCCAAATTTACAGAGATGTCTCAATGCCAAATTTTCTACTCATTTTTCCTTTACTTCATCGATTTGTTCTCAATTCTATGGTTCTCGTATGGCTCAATAGAGACAGTGTACAAGAATAATTTGTCAAGAAGCGGCGTAACTCTGGAAAAGTCAGCTTCCTACTCCCACCTTTTGCTTCATTAAATTCTCATTGTGCTCAGGCTGAGGTGAAGCTATCAGCAGCAATAACCAGGAAATTTCATGTACAATACCGCTCACATTTTATTCAGAAAAAAATGTGAACCGAAGCAGATTTTAGCGGTCTTCGCGTATGTCATACGACGGTGTGTTATGTGATGGTCGCCTAACTCATGTGACATCACCGTCGCCTGGTAATATCTCGCTTCAGAGTGGATGAATTCTGAATCTGAATTCATCACCATTCCACTCATCACGGCGCGAAGCATGTTCTGATAAATTGGAAGTGGGGGTACGGCAGGTATACGGTAGAAAGTGAATTTACAACGAATATGCTTGAAGCTCCGCATAGAGGACTTATTTAATGTGCTCATTACATAAATATGTTTATATGTTGCAGTGGTGGTATACTGCAGAGTTACGTAAATACGGTGAGAGTCAATTTGCACATATAATTTTAGAAAATTGCTGGGGCAATCAAATGCTCTGATTATAATGAACTGACTCGCAACAAAATAACGTACTCAAACTGGTACCTCTACGTCCAAGAGATGCATTTCAGGGGTTGAGTCGAATGATGTTGAAGGATTTAGAACTCCCCCTGAAGCAATACATGGCGATGCGATCAAAAATTCGGCTATCTGACTGCCGCTACGTTCATTTTTCATAAACGTTTATTCATAGCGTGCTGCAAGCGTATGAATTTATAATATGCCTTGTATCAGTCATAAAACAGCATGGTATCTATATATATAACAGTGTTCTGGCAGGTGTCTACGCCTTTTGAAGTAGGTATGGAATCAAAGTTGGAATGGACTAGCTTGGCTTGTGAGCGGTTCAATACGCGAAAGCCTCGAAACTCAAACACCTGCGCACTGCGCATCTGAGTGTCTTACTATTATGCAAACACTTGTATACTAGTTCCTTCATTTTTGCAAATAGGCGTTCGACAGATAGCCGAATAAAGGATCAGCTCTTAATGTCTGGCAATGTGCTCCTCACTTTAAATGGTCACTTTGAATGAAGATATTTTCCTGTTAGCAGAAAAGGGACCAAATGCAGCCTGCTTCTTGCAGATACATACGATTACTGTGCATGGACAAAAGTTCGCAGAAAATCGTGTCGCATAGCCACAGTCAACATCAAACTTTCATTTTTTTTCCAAATGTAAGTGAGCAAGTCGGTAAATCGATTTAATGGCCCAGTAAAGTCCCGCGTAGTCTACGACGACTGTTGTTGTCGAAATTATACGTGAGCAGAGGTTTAGCTCAAACGGTGTATGCAGCAAAACCCAATTATCGGTTACATACAGTGACCGCCAAAAAGTTGCGGACAAGCCTCCCTCCCTTTTTCATCGCTTTATTTCAGAAGGAAAACAAGGATAAAAAAGTGTAGTGATTGCATGAGGTGATAGAGCTCTTCAAGATCTACAATCTGCACTTGGCGTTTTTCGAAAAACATGTATTCTAGGAATTTTAAAAAACTTTTTCTAAATAAAGTCCGAAAATGGCCGCGTCACAATGTTGCGGACAATAATTCTTCGAACGCAAAAATTTTCTTTTGAGTCTTATTCTGAGGCTGAAACACAAGTAATCCAAACGGGTAAGCATACTACTATACAGAGCTTGTCAAGAACTACACACTGGTTATGGTTGCTTCCCAAAAAACACAAGCTTGAGTTTTATTTTGCTTTTTTTTCAAAAATAACTTCTAATTCTCCTTTTTAAGCCAAGTTTCTTTACATGGAAACCTATTCACGACATTCCAACAACGCTATTCGGATAAAGTAGATGCTCTTTACCATTCTCCATGCATCTGACATGTGCTGATGAGTTTCTTTGCTGAAAATGGCTCTTGGCAGTGCTTGCACATGACCCCACCTGCACCTCACCACTGACTTGTACCGCTTTGCAGGCTTGTAACTCGGCTTGTAGTCAATGTGTGAGCCTGCAATTAGGCTCATTCGAAAGAACGAGACTTCCTCTACACGACGGTTTGTAAAAAAGATGGGTATAAGAAACAGCGGAGATTTGGCGGATGGGGTGAAAAAACGCGGCCTCAGTGGTGATTGGAGTGAAGGCTCTTATCAACATCAAAACAGTTCTAGAGCTTCAAAATGGATCTATTACAAGAACATTAACAGTTTCAAGCTTCCAGGATTGAACTGGTAGCGAAAGAAGCTCTATTCAACTTTAGCTGGATATCCTCACCCTAGCACTGAGGCCGCGTTTTTTCACCCCATCCGCCAAATCTCCGCTGTTTCTTATACCCATCTTTTTTACAAACCGTCGTGTAGAGGAAGTCTCGTTCTTTCGAATAAGCCTAATTGCAGGCTCACAAATTGACTACAAGCCGAGTTACAAGCCTGCAAATCGGTACAAGTCAGTGGTGAGGTGCAGTTGGGGTCATGTGCAAGCACTGCCAAGAGCCATTTTCAGCAAAGAAACTCATCAGCACATGTCAGATGCATGGAGAATGGTAAAGAGCATCTACTTTATCCGAACAG